TGTGAACAATATTTGAGAGAAATAGGCCTTTTGTGTACATAGAAAAAGTCTTAGATCTTTGAGTTCAGCTCATGAAAAATGGGGGCAAAAACAAAAGTGTTGCGTTTATAGTTTTGTTCAGTGTATGACATCACTTTGTATGAGGATCTGCTGCTAGCATCGCACTGGTCCCCTCGACAAAAAGCCAGTTGGATTTTTCCATAGGCTTTTGGATTATCGCAAAAAAAATAAGTTCTGTGTTCAATCATGAAACTTACATGCTTTGTCCATCAAGATAATCTGTACAAAATAATATAACTTTTATTAATTTTGAAGCCTAAATAAAAGCGCCAGAACTTAAAAGCTAAACTTAGGCTATAAACGAACTACAGCACCACCATGCTTTGCAAAACTTTTCAAACTTAGTTTTAACTTGTTCAGTGAAAAGGATTTACTCTATATATGAATTTTTATCCACGCTACATAAACCTTTTCATATAAACTGGAATAAATACAAAACTAGAGCCAAACTAAAACTGAAATGAGACATTAGTAATAAATAGTATAGTGAATAAATGAAATAATCATAAGGACATATGAAGGAACGTATTTCTGTACATTTCGTAATAAGGTGCATTAAAAGTCAATAAATCCTTGATTAATATGAATATTTTAATTAAAAACGTGTCTCCACATACTATTCAATAAAATTATAGTGCATTTAATCTATTAAATAACAGCAGAGTGAGCGAGTTTTTGGATATTATAAGATTAAACTTATTTTAGTGAATAAAGTACCACATTTCAGCTTTGTTAGGGTGGGTACACAAAATTGTATTTTATCCTTGCTTCTAGGAAATCCTCATATGCTTTCTAACAGCTTCATGTGGGCGTACACATTTAAATTTAACGTGGTTTTAAAAGCACTATGCATCGTTAAAGTTTCACTTTCACCGTGACTAAGCTGGTAAATGTGGTGTTTACATGGAATAATCGTAATATGAGTTTACCTTATGGTACGAACCCAGAGTCTCCGCATCAGTAGGAAAGCGATAAAACGAGCATCTTCCATCTGAAGACTTGTGTTGCATTTCGGGGCAAAAAATAAATAAAAATCGTCGACCAACAATATAAAATGCAGGAAACTATTAATTGGTTATTCTACAATTAATTGTATTACAAATTATACTACGACTGGAAATACTGTAAATTGATCAACTGTTCGGTGTAATGACGTTTAATATTAAATATCTCCGACAGCACCTGTAGTCCCATTTAGCAACTTGTTAGCAACCGTCCTTTTTAAGAAACGTAAAAGTTTAAAAAAATCACGAGTGGGGTGTAACTGCTGTGTTTTATGTCGTAGAACAAAACGTGAAAGTATCTTGAGCCTGTGTGAACCACGGACCTTATTTTAGGGATTTAACAAAAATCCCATTCAAAAAACCCATTGACTCTAACTCGCTTCCAGGTTTTTGACTACAAGGTGACATCATAGTTCCACCACTCTATACTACAGCTAGAATCAAAGTTACGCCTTCTTTCTTTGCATGAACATTTGGGCGGTGTAATGCAAATCTTCCCACATCGTGACGTAGACATGTGGGGGCTTGTTAGAACCTGCCGTTTTAGGTAGACGTGGTTGACTCTTAACTTTTATAAAGAATATCTCTTTGGATTTGAGCAGGGGCGTAGCCATCATTTCAGAAGTGAGGGGGACAGAAATGTTATATATATTGTCCATATTAGGAATTTCCTTTCTGCGCGAGAGCACCCTCCGGCTACGAGTATGAATGTAACATACACTGCATGTAGCGCTCCTTGATGTTCATCTCGCCTTATTCTGGGTCCGAATAAAACATCAGACCAAAGAGAAACGAAAAATTGAAATCGCATCATATGACCCCTTTATTTTAAATGAAATAAAAGACAAAACAAAAGTTATTTGGATTGAAGAAATGGCACAGTTGCGTGGTATATAGAGTTAATACTTAATACACTCTTAAAAATAAAGGTGCTTAAAAGGTTATTCACAGCGATGCCATAGACGAACCATTTTTGGGTCCACAAAGAAACATTCAGTCAAAGGTTCTTTAAAGAACCATCTCTTTCTTACCTTTTTATAATCTGAAGAACCTTCTTTCGCCACAAAAGACCTTTTGTGAAACAGAAAGGTTCTTCAGATGTTAAAGGTTCTCTATGGAACCATTTAGGAAAAAAGGTTCTTCTATGGCATCGTGAAGCACCTTTATATTTAAGAGTGTATATGTCAACTTTAAATTAGAAATATATTTTAAATGTATATAATAAATTTAGTTTACAGTTGTTATTGTATCTTGCATGCACTTTATGTGATCTACCCACACATTATTATTTAAGGTGTGATCTTCTTGCACTAAAATTTTCAGATTCAGTTTAATCAGTGATAGGCATTAGCAAATAACAATAATGGATCAGTATTTAATCTTTTGGCTTTTGATTTGCCAGTAATCTTACAGAAATTGGGGGAGGCATATAGGTTTTTTAACCAGAAGATGGCACCAAAGTGTTACTTTAATATTTTTGGTAGTTTCAGCATTACATTGTTCATTACATCCTGTACAGATCCACTACTACATTTATAAGCACCATTGTTTTAATGCATGTGACACAGACTTGCTTTGTCACCTTTAATAGCACAAAAGATATGCAGTGTCAAATGTCATATGATGATGACACAAGCTCTTTAGAAAGATGGAGTCATGGAAAAACAAGGCGGAGGATCCACTTGCAGTAGGACTTATTAAGAGCATAAACCAGAAACACGGACCAGGAGCTTACACCAGGACAGGAACAAAGACTGACACTGAACAAGGCAAACACGGGTATATAAACAAGGCCTAACAAGGTGGTGGAACTAATAAATCACCATGACAACAAACAAGGTAGAACAGGAAACCGGAACTAAACACAGGAAGTGAAGCCAGAAACACGGGGCAGAGAACCATTTCAACATAAAAGTCCTTGAACACAAGACAGAGGACCACAGACTGGGATCGTGAGATAGCCCCAGGCGGATCAGGGGGAGGGACGGTGGGCCAGGTCCGTGTAGTGGCAGTAGTAGACCAGGGAGCTAGGGTGGAGCCGGCAGAGCAGGAGGCCAGGGCAGAGCTGAAGACCATCAGGGCAAAGCATGTGGAGCTGAGGACCACCAGGGCGGAGCAGGGGGAGCTGTGAGCCACCAGTGCAGAGTAGGCGGAGCCGAGGGCCACCAGGGTGGAGCAGCCGGAGCTGAAGACCACCAGGGGAAGCGGATGACCACCACAACTGAGCAGATTGGTCTGAAGATACCCACGATGGAGCAGAAGACCACCAGGATGGAGATTATGGAGCGGAGGACCACTTCAGTGGAGCAGATGACCACCAAGAAGGCTCAGGCTGAGCAGATGAGCACCAAAGTGGAGCTGACGAGGCAGGAGACCATCAAGGCGGATCAGGCGGGACTGGAACACAGAGCACAGAGAGGTTAACAAAAAAAAACAGTCAGCACTAAATTATTTATAACAGTGAAGTTATTAATCCTTGAACTTCGGAAATTATACAATATTTTTACCCTGATTTGACCTAATTTTATACCATATATTACAGGACTGACAACAGGGGAACAGTCAGAATTATAACAGACAATAAAGCGGGGCGGATTTAGTGAATTGGGGTCCCCAGGCAAAATATAGGAATGTGGCCCTATACATTTGCACACATTTACTAGATCAAGCTTGAGGTTCCTTTTTTTGTTGTGATGCTTGCTGCTGCACAATGGTGCCCCATAGTTGTGTCCAGTGTTTCTACATGTTTCATGTTATAATGGCTTTCATTCATGCTGTAGACCACGGAATAGCAATTGATTTACAGTTGAGATACAGGTTTTCACAAAAACAAAATAAATTATAAAATGATAAACCTCACAATTGAGCCATTAAACAATTTTTTTATGAAAATGGATGAGTCAGAAGTATAAATGATTATATTAATTTAAAACGGGGCTAAGGGTTGTGATGTCCACATGTTTTTTTTTTTTTAAGAAATTAAAGAGGATGTAGCATTTCTATCGCGAAAAGGTGGCCAAAAGAAAAAAATTAAGTGGATTTTTGAATTAGGCCTACATATTTGGTCAATATTAAACAAGGATTTGATCGTCCTGTAAGTGTAACAACAGCAATTATCAGGCCTTTGGTGCCCTTTGCAGGCATTTGTAATAATGTAAATTGTTTATTTTGTATTACTTTATGTATTTTAACAGTGTTATTCAGTGAAACCATATTTAAACTATATACCATATATTGCCTCGTAGTTTTTATTTTAAGTCATGGAAACTAGAATATTAAGTCAGATGCGTTGTTGTTGGTGGTGAAATTATTACCGACATTAAAACAGTTTCACAGGATTATGAACGTAGTTACCTGTGATGCACGGGCTTCATCTCGGGCTTTTTTTTCCCTTTCCTCTGCGCCGGACTGCGCAGATATGTCTTTTCCCTGATATAGCCTAGTTGTCCATTAATTATAATGATCATTTGTATTCAGCCGCAAACATGAGGTGAGAGCGGGCGCGGGCGCAGATGCGGGAATGGAAAAATCACGTGTGCTTATACTGCCTTATACTGTGTTCATCATAAAATGCATTTTTTTTATAATTATAAATATATCTTAATTATAAATATATCTATATATACAATCTTAAGAAAAAAGATAAGACCATTCTTAAGAAGAATTTTTGGGAATTCAAAATATTCTTTTTTTTTTCTTAAGTTAAAAAATAAGAAGAAAGTGGCAGTTAAGAAGACTTTTTTTTTTTTTTTGCATGTTTCGTGAGTCCGGCCCCAGGTTGATGTGTTTGAGCTTGTTATTTTATCTATTCAGTTTCTTTATGTACATCTTGAATCTCACCTCATAATCTTTTCCTGCACAAACCAAGTCGAACAGAAAACATTCCTTTGTCTCTGTGCAGTAACTGGATTCACTGGAGTCCCTGAGAGATGCAAACACAATACATTAAACATGACACAACAATGGACATATATAGATTATAGTCTTTGTTGTGCGGATATTTTACTGCTGCAAGGGAAGCAAAAATGATTCTCACCCAACTCTTCCATCAACAGTCACTGCAAAGAGCAGCACAATCACTCCTGTCAGGCAAATCCTTTAAAACATTTAAAACAAAAAAGAAAGAATGAGGTTACCTTTAGGGAACTCCAGCAGCAACTTGAAGTAATTTTTATGGTGCTACTGAAGTTTATACAGCACTACAAAAGTAAAAGTTTCAGAGCTTACATGTTGTAGAATGTTGTAGCTTGAGACTGTGCAGAGAGGAAGAATGCACATGTGTGCCTGCAAGCTGTTATTTATACATGCAATGTTATGAAATCTGTTCCCTCCTACAAGACGCCCCAACCCTGTAGTCATGTAAGCATGTTAAGTAAGAGACAGTATCTCATCCACTAGGGACAGTATTAGATTTTTTTTTTTAAACGGTCGTGTTTGAGAGTTCTTTTGAATTGATTATTTGATTGTCATATGTATAGCACATTTAATGGCAGCTCAGCATTTTTATGCAGTGGGTCATTTGTGATCATGTACTTGGAAAACAAAAAGGTGTCTTTTAAGGCTAGATGG